CAAAACAACTAAACTCTCCTTCTTTCTGACTTCTGGACTGACTAATGTGGAAGGTATGTGCTGAGCCTACAACCTCTGCCGGCGTTGGCCTCTGGAATTCTAATTCACATGAGGAACGCCCAACTTCACCAGTCACACCAAATCCTGCTGCTGCCCATTCTTTATTTTTAATCCTGCTGTTTCGCTCTGTACATCATTTACGCATGCTTAGCTCCAAGCAGTGCAGAAGGAGACAGGGTTGCAGGCGAGATCGTACGAGTGGTGGGAGGGCAGCTAAATCTGTGTTGGCAATCAAAAAGTCTGGAGGGGGTCAAATAAGTAACCCACACAGGTTTAAACCTATAAACCGTAGAGGTCTGCAGGAGTTTAAGTGTAGAATTATCATGAATGGTGGTGAAGTACATGTCTTGCTGTGTCGTATCTTACATTTTTACAACTATATAATGATGCTTCGGTATAATTACTGAGTGCAAACGGGACTAAGTCTAACACCAGTGATCTTGTTAGTGTTTCTCCAAATTATGAACACATTTTGTAGTCAGCCTTTCTTGCATGCATATGTTTTATGACTTTACTGGAATGAATAAACATGTTTGCAGGTACTGCATTTCAGTCATCTGGAAAGGTACATTTGTGCTGGGAGAACAGCAGGTGTGAGCTGTTTTGCTGTGCAAAGCAATTAAGAAAATTTCTCATGAAAACCTATAACAATATAAGGTGGTAGCTGTCAATTTTCCCCTTACAAATGTCTTAAAAACAATAATAAATATTTTATTATTTTGTTTCTGAAGTCCACTGAGTTGACTGGGGAATGCAGCTTTAATGTCTCAGAACAAATGTGGTAATGATTTTGTTTTTTTTAAAACGACCACGACAAAAGATCCTCATCCACTTTAAAGTATGACTGATAATAGACTCACCAGTTTACCAGAAACCCCTTTCGTGCAATTATGATAATTAGAAAAACAACAATGAGAAGAAAAAATAAACTAGGCTCATATTTCTCAGAGGGACGTGCCTGTTTGTTCAAAGGGCTTCAGTTTCCATGACTGAGCTCTCCTGAGGAAAACGATTCCCATCAAGCATCTTCACTGCCTTTCTCTGAGAACTCGGGACAATCAGTCTTCCCAACACGACCGCATGAGAGGCCCGGCTCCCTGGAGACGCTGCAGCAACGACGCTGAATCACCAACAAACTCTAACCAACATCCAACAAGGTCAAAGAACAGAACGTGGGCATTTTTACATGTAAAATGAAAAAAAAATAATGGGAGGAAATGCGTAGTAACTCCTAGAGCTCTGGGGCTTTGGGAGCAAACTCTTTTGTTTCAGGTAATGTATCAGTCAATAACAAGCTGCTAATATGGAATTAAATAATGAAAACAGTGTCTATAAACAATCTGTGTGTAGACCGGGGTAGGCAGCTCTTTAGCCCCTCTCCAGTGGCTCCACATTTTCATTTATCATTGTTAGCCTAAAGGGATTTTTATATTCTAAAACTGTAAAAATATGTAGCCATTACAGACTCAAAACGAAAAGTTCTGTTTAATAAAATGTACGTCTTGACCTGCCGCCTTTCTTCTATGTCTTGTCAAACCACAATAGCAGTGGCTACTAGTATTGAGTCTGCCTAGATAGATTAGCTATGGATTTCAAAATCCCTCCACAAAAAAGTCTCTGAGGATAATATAGAATTTGTGTTGTTTTATGCTGGCTTATATGTATGCTTGATCTGCAGCAAGAAATTAGCATTTTAAGGCTCAAAAATCTGGGGCTCCAGACAGGTTTTATGATAGTAGAGGCTGTTGACCTCTGATGTAGACAAAATAAACTGATGAAATACTATTACCAAGTGTCATCTTTCTAGCACTCCTTCTGAATACAGTAAACATTTGTGTGTATGTGTGTGTCTGTAATCACATGACATAATAGACTTTTAACAAAACTGATTTATCACAACATACTTTACGGCACAACACAGAGCACACATGGAAAAACAAGTGTGAGCATGTGTTGCACCAATGCCACAGCCATTAAGTCACACACTATTTACACAGAGTATATAACACATTACTCATAACACGCGGCTCATTGCCATTTATATTGCCTACAGCAGTGCCCGATTCGTGCAGAATTGTGAACCTCGCTCCTCCTCTCATTCCTTGACAGTCTACACCTGCAGTACTGCACCTAGAAATACGAGCTGTGGGCAGGGAGAGGTTAAATCCTGGTCTTTCCTCTCTGTGCTCTCGGCCAACACCCACCATCTATTTGTGCTGAGTGTAGGCTTACACCGATGGAGTAGCAAAGAGGAAGGGAGGGATACATTCGGGAAAGAATGGAGAAGGAGGAGGAGGGAGGTCAAGAGCTCACAATGAACAACAAATACAAGACTGAGGCAAATATTTGAAACAGCTCAAATGTCCCTCAAAATGAATCAGACACGTTTCTTACCAATAAACTAGACAGATAATACAGCAAGACTCCTTGGCTCTAGGCAGCCATTTGCATCAGATTTCTCCCTGAACAGCTTCAGTGGTTGTGTTTTACATTGTATGAACATAGAGGGAGGCATATCTATTCATATGACATTCATTTTTGGTTTGACCCAGGCAGGACAGGGTGTGAGTGACGGACAGCATGCCAGATAAATTGCTTTGTGATTGTATCTGCTGCTTTCATTTGGCTTTTGAATTTCACAACAAAAGATAATTGGAGGGAGATATAGTATGCGGCCAAAGTGGAGAACAGGAGATTAATATTTAGAGGTAAAGGTGACTGTAGTGGAGATAAACAAAAGGCTTCCATTGATAATAGAGAGGAGAACCTTGAGCATCTGGAGATTAGGGCTGCGCAAATAATCGAAATAGGATCGAGATGGCCAAGTGCAATATGGAAATTGCTATTTTTTCTGGTAAAGGTTCAATGTGTGACAAAACAGCTTTATAATAAAGTACTGTAGAAATGCACTGGCCTACAAATCTTGTTCTCCAGATGTAAGACACCCCCAAAATGTCACATAATCACAATCTTGTTTTTTTATTTTTTTTCAAGGGAAAATTTAATTTGTGATGCAAAGATTATCATTCCCATTAATCGTGAATCATATCACAATCGCAATTTCTGCCTACTGTAGATTCACATGAATTTTTTGATCTACAATAAGAATGTAAATAGTCCCAAAATGCAGACAAAACACCACTTAGCCTCTGTTTCTATAGGCTAATGGTCAGCATAATTACAAGCTCTACCATGTTGTTATTACATGGCTGGGGCAACCTCACATAAGCTTGGGGTTGACTTGATGATTATTTGGGTAGGTGACGTGGGTGGCAAAAGGGAAGGGAGAGGCAAAAGGGTGGGATGCAGCAGCTACCCAGACCTGACCGACCAACCCAACCCAGACGTTAATCCCAGACTTGTGACAGCGAAATGGCGAGGCTTATCAAGTTCAGCAGTCTGTGGATGTTCCCAGAGATGGAAAAATACCCCTAAGCTCACTGAAAAGCCAGGGGGGAGCTGAAAGTGCACAGCAGAGCAGATCTGCACATGCATGAGCCACCATCCCTACAACTTCACCACTATCACCAGTACTGACACAACAAGGGATGAACATGCCGCCGAACATCAGACCATTACGCAACAGACGTCTGTCTAGGGCTTGTGGCATTAATACAGAAAACCAATGCTCCACCACTGTGGTAAATTCCACATAAACACATGACCTCTGGGACTTTTCTTGAGGGTGGTGGTATGGACTCACACTTGTTATTATCAGAAGCTTATCAGTATCACTATGGAGGACCAAAGGTGTCATGTAAATGGTTAAAAAGCTGTCTGATCTAGAAATCCCATTATTTATTATGGTAGCCTTTTAACTACTGAATGCTGTGTTTATTCATTGTTTTATGTTGGTTTCTTTAAACTATTATGTCAATGTGACCTATTTATTGATGGATTAATATTCTTTTGTAACAATATGTTTTATTACCCATGTAAATATCCACAAATTAAATGTCTAGTTACTGAATGCATGTTATAATGGATTAATGAATGAATTTGCAAAATATCTGATTAATTCCTGTCCAATTAGATATCAGTGAATTGAATGCTTTCACGTGACACCTGTGGTGCTCCATATGCATTTAACCCCATTAAAGGGTTAACCATAACCCTTTAATAACCCTATTGAAGATGAATGGCAAAAGCCAAATGTTGACAACTATAACCACAATATGTGTCACTGATATGATTCATTTTCCAACATGTCATTATCTGTTGGTTGCTCAGGCGGAGGAGGCAAAACATTCCTAACTGAAATTAAATGCTAAACAATGGTCAGTGGAGCAAAGTAGAAGGAAAATCTTGAGAAACGGACTGTATGTGGGAAGTGGGGACATTCTTGAGAAGATTCCTGGCAGACAAAATATTGAAAATGAGGAATAAGCGGGGCGCGCACACATGCATATCAAATTTCCATAAACAAACATTCAGCTTCCTGAGGCTCTGTAAAGTCCTGCAAAGTTTTTTGGTGAGTACGATTGGAGCATGCAGCAGAGCTGTGAGCAGAATGAGAATATTTCCTCTTGTGTTTGGCCATTGTGCAATTTAATGTCACATTTCAGCCTGGACAACACTGCAGTTGGGATCCTGCATACACAAACAGGCTGCTCTATAATATCAGGTATGGAAATCAGTTGCCTCACTTGCCTTTTAAACGGAAGACTGGGATAAAATAGTATGTATGTATGTTGTCCTGAGGATCTTTCGTTTCATTGGCATTTTAAAGGCGTAAATAAACAATCATAACTGAGTTCCTATTATTAAACAAATTCCTGAGTTTCTGTCATCATGTGCAAAACACACAAACACACTGAGAGACTGGCAAGAAACTGCTGACAACACCACAAAGGTCATATCTTCCTCTGGCTGATAGCACTGAGGCGCAATTCAAAGATAAAAAACGCATTATGCTGACGTACTTGGTGTCCATAACTTACCAACAAAAACGCACAGCACGTCCATCACCACGTACAGCTTCTTCTTCCTCAGCTCCTGCATCCTCTTCCCGTTTACTTACTTTCAAATCGACAACTTTAAGAGAGAAAAACTACTTTTGTAACAGGGTAAACAAGTCCATCGGCGCTTGCTCGCTTTGAAATAAAAGTACAGGCTATGAAAACAACCTGGTAACCTGCACTACGAGTTCTTCCGGGATCCTCTTCTCTACCTGTGCTGACATTGGCAGCATAGGTGTGTGACTCTCTTAAAAAGACAGCGTGTTAAAAAGTAGTTTCTGAGCAGATACGCGGCCCTTTTGCGCGCATTACTGCTTTGGGTACAAAACCAGAACTGGAGAGATCCTCCTATTTCACGGCGCTGTAGGCGTCCGGAGAATCCAGTTTTAAGTCTTCTCTCAGCACACACACCACGCCACTGCACTGGTCCCTCCTCCCAACTTCCTCGTCTGGCTCCTCTCTGGCTATCTGATTATCGACAGGCTCCAAGTTTTTACGCACAGGCGTGCAAAGGGGAAGACAGAAAAGCTCTCAGCGGTTTGCTTTATATTTTGCAAACCAACTTGTTAAAAAATGTCTAATGAGTAGACAGGACTCAAACACTGTTAGGATTGAACCAGGGGGAGGCGCCTGACAGCAGTAAACCAGTCACAAACTGCTCTGTCAGGTCAAAAATACTCAAGAGAAATAGAAAAAGAAGGGGGAAAAAGTCAAAACCTGAAACAAATGGCTGTCATTACACCTGACCTCATTATCTGAGGTAATATGGACTTAATCAAGAACATACAATCATGGGATTTAAAAGGCACTACAATAAGGCTGTTGCTTTAATTGAGGACTCAGCTCTGCCCCCATTTCTGAAATCTTCACATATATGAGAGCCCTACATGATCTCATCCCATCATACACTTCAGTTTCCGCATAAAAGCCCGGCAGGACAAACACTTGAACTGCTCAGTTCAGTTGAGAGCTTAACCTTTCCCAGAGTGCACTCCTCTTCCCATATATGAGAGAGATTTATATTGAAGCTGACAAAACGGCGAACGGGTTCCTAATAAGGTCCAAACATATTAGTCAACACCTTCATGGCACTGGGAGGTGGACCCACACTGAGCACACTTGGTGGGTGATTAAAAAATATAGAGGACAAAACCTCTAGCCCTACAAAAGCAGAGAGACTTTTATAAGCCCTGCTGGGACTGTAGCAAAATTAGCATGACTTAACACCAGCATGACTCCGGGGCCACACTGTTATTTTGCTCCAAGCAGCCAGGATGTTTCCCACCAGCAGTCAATACCAGGCCACCACTTGCTGGCTGTACCGTGCCATGTGTATAGAAGAGTCATTTGTGTGTATTAACAGTTAACTGTGTTTGCATGACTAACACCACGTTTACCCCAAAGTCTATTAGTTCAGCAGCCTTGAGTTAAGTAGGTAATCTTACATGCACAAACTCTGTCTTGCAGCTTTATTTGACTTCCTGCACGTTAGCAAACGGTAGAATTAAATGCATTAAAATAAGATTCTATCCAGCAATGTCCAGCTGCCAAACATGATGAGAAACACATGAATGAAATGTCAATAACATACAGAAGAATATAGGAAAAAAGGAACAGCACGGAGCCACAAGTGCAACTGTACAATGAACACATATAAAACTGAGAACCTTCTGCCCCCTTCTGGTTGTTTTTTAACAGCAAGCTCATTTCAGCAGGCACTCAGAATCTCTAATAAAATGACAGATTGACCTTCTGTAAAGCATCAACTTCTTTTTCCGTTTTGTAAATTACAAAGGTAGACTTAGAGACAGGGTTGAGATTCACACATTTATTCAGACATATTGCAAGAAAGAACTTAACAAATATAGTCCTAATCCATAAGGGAATGCCATTTAATATCGTATTTGTTATTTTAGCCACCTAGTTTAGCTTTGTGAAGTAAAATAACACCAACAAGCAGATGGCTTGTGGTGTTAATGTTGAGAATATGCTCTACGTCAATTCAGTTTGTTTTAGTGAGCATAAACTAATCTCCTGGGTAATTTTATAGATAAGAGGAGAATGGCATACATTTGAAGATGCTGAGGCTGGGGTGGAAAGGATGAGAATAGATCTTGACAACAGTTGTTATGAATTTAATAAGAAAATGATAAGAATCTGCACTGATAGCGTAACCATGAACTGATGCCAATATTCCCATTGATATGTGTATCTTTAAATATCCCCTCCATACATGTATTAAGACATATATACAAATAGTCTGCTTGGAACAATAATGTGTGTCTGATCTGTGTTTTTCCTAAAAAGAAATTCTACATTAAAATACCTAAAAAGACATCTACTCATTCTACCTCATAAAAAAATCCATAATCTATGAATATGCTTATTTTTTGTTAATTTCTAAAATGTTTCTGCTGGACACAAGATGTCTTACTGTAAAGCCCATTGTACACCACTTGTATAAGTTGCATACTAAATACTTGACACTAAAAAGCATAATACTTCCAGTGTCAAACTCTTCACATACTTCATTCTGCATAGTGAAGCCCAAACATCCAACTATTTTTAAGTGGAGGGGGACTTTCTGTGGCATGGCTCATGTCACCTGTTCAGTGTCTCTGTGATGTCTTACTTAGTTTATTTATTATTATTATTACAAAATTGCCTGAACTGTAGATAAATTGTCTGTGATGGCACAGAAACACAACATGTACACTGAAACTATTATTATTTTGGTCATAAAGTAAAACAAACAAACAAAAGGACAAAGGTTCACCAAGAATCCCCATGTGCTTTTCTTTAGCTGTGCATGCTCATACATTTATAAAGAATGCACACATATTTCCAAATGAAAAACAATGTGCTTCAACAGTGTTCTTCCTCACGTGTTGCACGTTCAGAGTTGGAGATCCAGGAGGTCAGACTGCTGAGTGCAGGGTCAGGAACCAGAGGCCAGATATTCTGCTTTATCCTGGCACTATAAAGGGTAGTCTTGATATTTTAAGTTTTGTTCAGCAGGCCATTAAATACAGCAAATATTTTGTACATTGACTTGTTAATCTTTGGAACAAATGGACATTGCTAGCTGAATGCAGCTTTTCTAAAGAAAACATTCTTTAACCTGAGATGCTAGGGCCTATTAGATATTGTCTATGCAAATTACACGTTTCAGCATTTGTCTAAGCTATGATAAAGAGCAGTGTTATAAAGTTCCATGTTTAGCCAATAACAGGTACCAGTCACACTGTTAGCTGTGGGCTTTTTTAGAGTCAGCTGAAATGCAAAAGACTACACAGAATTACATTTTTAGTCTCACACTCACTCATACTCAGACAACTCTGATACTTTAAGCATCTACTTTCTGCTTGTACACAGCACTTTTATTAAAAAAACATCAGAAAAACACAAGATAACAGATTTTAAAAAAACATTAACTTTATTTAGCTGTCTTCCCAGAAGCGTCTTACTGTACATAACTACTTTGCATTTATTCTCCTCAAATAAACAGCTTGCATTATTAGCAGCGTAGCTCCTAATCAGCTAGAGAAACCTGGGCTGGAGAACAGGAGGCCAGAAGAGATAAAAAGACAGTTGCAATAAGGGCTTTTCCTGCTGTACTGCACTCCACTCTTATTCTCTCATATCACTCTTATGTATTAAAAACATGTGCTAATGTAGCTGAAACTACAATCTAGAAATTAAATTGTATACCTCATGCATACATTAAGGAACTTAACTGCTACATTACAGCTCTTCATTATAGCGTATTGGTGATCACCAATACTGGTTCTCTGCGAGTAAGTGAGCCTGTACAAAATGGACATGTACTGCACATAATGTATACTTACGCCAATTTAATCAAAGTTACTCAAAGAGGTCTCAGTCTATATTTCACATTGTTATATATTGCTTAATATATAGGTTTTTTTTTAATGGTTAAAGGCGACTGGACTTCTGGACATCTTATGAACAGAGTAATGATCTGAAAAATACCTAAAAGGTGAGACTACTTCCCTTGTTACCTTGTAAATTCACAGTTTTTCTAGTTATAAGTTGAGTCTACTACTTTATTCTGCCTTGTTTGGAAACCTTTTCCGAAAGTTATAGAGTTATTATTTAGCACAATATTGTTGCTGGTATAGAACTGAAGTGCTAGAATATCACTCACTGTCTACATGCAGCAAGGATGAGGAGCAAGACCACAATGAACACAGGAAGGACGACGCAAACCAGGATGGTCCTTTTTGAATAGTCGTCTTCTGACAAATACACAGATTCATTCATGAGCACACACAAAAGTACAAGGAACACAGCAGCCATGTAAAGTTTTTATTTAAAGCAATGACAGTGCATGTGTTGGTTCTCACCTACAGTAACCCACTGAGGTGGACTGGCTCGTCCTTCTCCTGCCACTGTGTGAGCTGTCATATAGATCTGATACACTCCCGATAGATCAGTCAAACGGTAGTTCAGTGTCTCATCTGACACTGTGTGCACTTCACCTGCACCACAATATTAAAACAAATAGTCCACTTATCTGCAGTGTACTGACATTGGTTTGATAAAGATTTAGCAGAGACCTAATGAAATATATAATTTCCCCATGCAATCGAAAATAACTTATTACCATACACAACAAAAATGCTGTTAAAACTTAATATTTTCATGTCACTGTTTAGTTTCTGTGGGCTGTGTGAGGCCCAACACAGAGCACAGTATGTGGGCCAATTCTCTGTGTGAATTCTGACAGAGGCTGTATTGGGTGATGAAGCCATGCTGCTCCTCCACAGGCACACCACGAGGACGGCATTGTTGCTCTGTTCCGTCACCTGCAGCCTGGGACCAGCAGAGGGCACTACAGAGCCAGGGGCAGAGGGGAGCAAAGGAGAGAGTGGGATAAAGTGGTGCTTGTAAAACCTAGCTCGACTAGTTGTTCATCCAAAAAACGTAGTAGAGCTACATCATTTGATCAGATAATTGCTACATTTTCTGTGCCCCCTCGCTGTCTGATAAAGGCGGAGCAAATCTTCATGTTGAAAGCACATTACTGCAGTGATACATTATCTCCCAGATTTAATTTAAAAGTTGTTACTCTTCTAGCCTAGGGAAGGCAATCAGGATTTGCAAACCCTGTTGATTCTCTAGACTGAAAAAAATAAATTTGCGATGCTCCCCTAATGGCTTATACACTAACAGAGACAAACCTTACAAATGTAGACAATATTTATGTGACAGGTAATGCATTCTTTTTTTCTCTCTCCTTTTTTAAGATATTTTTGGGGCTTTTATGCCTTTATTTGATAGGACAGGTGATGATAGGAAAGGGAGGAGATAAAGCCGCAGGTTGGAACCTGGGTGATAAGGGCTCAGCCTACATGGGGCTTGCGCTCTTTTAGGTGAGCCACCATGCGCGCCAGGTAATTGATTCTTGTGACATTTGCATAAAATAAAAGAACAGTTTCTTGCATTAAAGGTAGGTATTGCATCTTGCATTCTTAATTCAACACTCCTGTATAATAAATGTAACTGTATGATAGAATGAGTTCAAACAACTAATAGGAATGCAAGTCAGAGCCTTATTGCCCTGGCAGTTACCTTCTGACCCCGGACCCCACTGTATGAGTTCTCCAATTATGTGTACAACCGGAGCTCAATGATATTCTTCATTTTTGTTTCTAAGATTAAATATGGTTAAAGCTACGTGGTGCCGATTGTAATTAGGCTGCCTTTCCAGTTTTGGAAAGTCCTGGCATTTCCTGTTTTTCAGGACCAGGTTGACTTTAATAGTGGCTTGATAATAAACTTACCAGTGGCGATCATGCTGCTGGTGTTGTTGTTCAGTCTCTCCCAGTTCAGATTCTGTTTGTCAGCCTTAGTCACTGATTCCCATTCCAACAGGAAGCCAGTAAGTAAGGCATGTGTGAGTGCTGACCATGTAAACTCCAGACTAGAGTCATTCAGGGCTTTTACATGGACTGTTTTCAAGGCTCTGAGTGCTAAACAGAAAATATGAAAACATGCATGAGTATTGAAACACATATTTACACCAGCATATGTTCTAAATGCTGATACATTGGTGACGGTTACGGTATAAAATATTTTTGCGAACAAAATATCTTTTTTTTTTAAATTATTAATCTGTGAATGGAGACTTAGTGCATACGTGTGTCTGTGGGTGCTGGTAGGGTGAGCCGAGCTGCTGGGGAGCTGCCAGCAGAGTAACACAGTCAGGAAGCAGGAGAAGCACTCAATGGGCAGCGTCATCTGACAGGATGTGTCTGTCATGTGCAAGCAGCTCTCAGTTTGCAGTGCACTGTGGGATTCCTTGGACTGACAGTACACATTGAACCACAGGCTGGTGCAGGCACTCTGACATTTTGCAGGAGACTGGAGGGGAGAAAACGTTGAGGTAACCACAGAAACTGACTGAGCTGGTCAACATCAGCATAGTACTTGGCTATGCTGATGTATCACCATCACTGACCATCTCCTTTAAATTCCACACGCATAAAGTAGCACTTCCAACCCTGAGCAGATCAATGCAAAAACTCAACGACAGCTTAAATAATGCCAGATCACGCATCAACTTCTCCTTCTGTTCTAATCAGCCATCACTGAATCCCTCATCACATCCTCTATTACATCATGGTACTGCAGCACAGACTGTATTGTCACCAAGGAATTGAAAATCATAGGCAACCTTCTCCCCTCGGCTAAATTGCTACACACTCAGCAAAGTGTAAAGTGACATCCTGCTCATCACCTCTTCTAGCTCCTTCCCTTGGGAAGACACTATAGGTCACTGTCCACAAAGACTAAGCTCTTCATAAACGGCTTCTTCCCCTTAGCTATCAGGACTCTGAACTCCTCAATCCAGCTGCGTTCTCACATACTAATGGTCTTGTGTATCTACTGTAAACCAATCAGCCATAACATTATGGTGAAGTGAATAACACAAGGATGCACTATGGGGAGAAGGCAAGTCTATGGAGGCAGTGTGATGCTTTGGGCGATGTTTGGCTTGGAAACCTTGGGTCCTGCCATTCATGTGGATGTTACTTTGAGACATACCACCTATCTATGCATTGTTGCAGACCATGTACACTCTCTCATGGAAACTGATGGCAGTGGCCTCTTTCAGCAGGATAATGCGCTGTGCCACAGAGCAAAAATGGTTCAGGAAGGGTTTGAGGAACACAACAACGAGGTTCAAGGTGTTGACTCGGCGTCCAAATTCCCCAGATCTCAATCCAATCGAGCATCTGTGGGATGTGCTGGACAAACAAGTCCAATCCATGGAGGCCTCATCTCACAACTTACAGGACTTAAAGGNNAGATACCACAGCACACCTTCAGAAGTCTAGTGGAATCCAATCAGTCAGGTCAGGGCTGTTGTGGCGGCAAAAGTCTGTCTGTGTGTTGTGGGCGTGGTTTTTCCCTCCTGCCTTCCAGCTCTGCTCCACACACCTATCTGCAACCAAATCATCAACCATCCCAGTCTGCTCACCTGCCTCTGATCAACTCATCTACCCAACAGTATATCTACTGTTTCTCCATCTACTCTTTGCCAGATCATTCAGTCTACAAGAATAGGAGTCACCCCTCTGCCTGCTCTTCACCAGCTACCTTCAGATCATCACCTGCACTCCAGCCAGCCTGCCCGCTCCTTCATCTGACACACTCTCCGCTTCATGGATTCAGCTTCTGCTTGGACACAGTGCCTCCACCCTCTGCTCCACTCTGCCTGGATCTCAGCCATTATCCCCTCACCACTGCCAGCCGGAGCCAACAACTAGTTTTACAATAAAGCCCTGTTTTGGTAATCATACTCACCAGATTTGTGTTCTGCTTTTGGGTGTCTGTTTAACACAACACATATAGTATTATATTTTATGTTGTTTATTTGCAAGAACTTTTAACTGACAGTGCTTACATTGTGCTCACTTTCCACAGTAGAGTCACTTGTCTCTTCTGAAGATCATCTATAGGTTTTAACATTCTCCACAGTTGTTTGCTGGTGATCGGGGCTGACAGACATGATGACAAACAAGTATAGTTTCACCCAAAACATTCTCTTTTTCAGATGACTTTTGAATGTGGTTTAATTTTAACAGGAAAAGTTCTTTGAAGTTCTTGGCCAACTATTGACAGCAGTGCTATACTTCATCAAAGAGTTGCTGACCAAAGTCTCAAAATTGGGTTTACAGTACAATCCACACTGACCGAAGACTGATCATAAGAAGCTTTGATGGCCTCCAAAATGTGAATTACCGAGAATTACATTGTTTACATTTTTGTGAAACTAATGATCTGACACAAACACAAACTCACCTGCCATCCCTGTGCAGTTCTGTAGTCAGTTGCTCCACTCGCTCCAGATACTGAGGTTATGGATGCGGAGTCGGACTGTGTATTGAGCAAATGGATTGAGAGAGCATGGGCTTCTGAGAAGGACTGTTCGGTTTGTCCTCAGTCTGTACACTGCAGAGGATTAAGCTGATCACACAGATAACCCTCCTCTGGGCCTCTGGCTTAAAGAAACATGGAGGACAATGCAATAAGGAAAACAAAGAAATAGATTAACTATGCCTGCATACCATAATTTATTTCTCACTGTTCTGAAGATTAAATGCAAAACGTTGAATCTATCCCTCCATCTATCCTATTACCACACCTGATCATCCGTGCTGTATTGTAGTTGGACACACAGTAGGACACAAAGCGATTGCAAATGTTTTCATGGGTTAGAGCAGAATATACAGGTGTATGCCACTGCAACTCCAAACAACTGGGTTTATCTCTGACTGGTCTCAGATCAGTTACGTTTGGCCTGCGCAGCTCCACTGATGAAACAAGATGGGTAATTAATCATATTTTTTCCAAAATTGAATTGGAGAATAAACTACTTGAGATACATACACATAAGGGCTCTCCCTCCATCCCAAACCGCAAACACTAAATGAACAGACCAAATAACTCTGAATAAAAATAAAACTAATACAATCAAAATAGATTTACAGTAAACAAGCAAAGAAGTCTTGAAGTAACAAAAAGAAGAAATTGATCTGTGTGAGTTAGGCAAATTATTCCAGTCTGATGGTGCTTTAAACTTTAGTCTCCCAATTACTTTATTTTTGATTATAAAAAAGGTAAAAGGACAACAAAATTTTTTTTATACGGTGATCTAAATTGAACTAAAAGCTGTTTTAAGTATTAAGGATAGGTCAGTTAAGTGTATCATACAGGAAATGATGTGTGTGGTAAGGACAACTCAGGTCTACAAATCCAGAAATCTACAAATGTTTTATTTCTGATATAATTTACATAAGGCTTACAATACAAGTTTTTGTGCACAGAGCCAAATAGTTTTACCACAGCCTACCTAAACCAACTGAAAACTATTCTGTTTTACCTACAATCACCTATAAAGCTAACAATACTTAGAGTGTCTTTCCAAAATAAAATACATAAATACATATGTATTGTTACATGCATCTAAAGCTCTGATACAGAGGGTCGGTGAGCTGGCTGTTGCTGCAGCGCTCTGGGCAACGACTGACAGAGTACAGCCTGTCAGGACTGCTCATGGGGCCGGAGCAGTGTGTCTGATTTATCCTGGTGCAGCTGAAGGCATGCTTACCAAAAGAGTCACAGGTAAATTTTGTCTATTTTTGCTATTCGGGTCAGGTACGCTCTGGTCATGCTGGAGCTGAGAAGAATTTTCTCAAGCCCTTCCAAGGATTTAGGTTTCTGTTCTTGGATGTTAGAGGAAGCAGTCTAGGCTCTGAGAGATGACTGTCTGCCTTTCTGCTCTTTCTGCATGAGAAAAAAACACCAGTGGAGCTCAGATGGTGCACAGAAAGTCTTAAGAGCACAACACTGGAGCCAGTTGCAGTGGTTTTCCCTACAGATGTGGATGGGTTTTCAAATCTCCAGGTTATATGTTTAAATGTAGAGATATGGACTTTACCTCAACATATTATTTATTTGTACAGTAAAATTGTGTTTACTGAATTACAGTGGTGGAAGTATTCAGATCTTTTACTTGAATAAAAGAAGCAATACCTCACTGTGAAAATACTTCACTACAAGTAAAAGGCCTGCATTCAAAACCCTACTTAAGTAAATGTATTTAAGTATTATCCACAAAATGTACTTCAAGAATTAAAAGTAAAAGTACTCATTGTGAAGAAAAATGGTCCTTGTCAGTGTTTTACATACATGATGTTTTTGGATTAATATCACACCTGCATTAATGTTGCATTTTACAGCTGTAGATGTTAAAGTTTGAGTTAATTTAACTTCTTTATATAATGTTGTGTAGTTTAATCTACTGCAGTGTATTATATTCTATAAGATCATCATATGTCAGATTTTCATAGACAGCCCTGTTTTCAGCTTTATGACAATGCTTTTTCAAGCTAATTTAATAGGGTTTTAAATAGTTTATTTAGTTAATAAAGGAACTCTTAATCGTGAAGGAACATTTAATCCTTCAGTTTATCAGAATAACTGAAATCCAGGAACGAGGAAATTTATTGTTAAAGAATTGAGACATCCTTTCCTCTGAAGCGTTACATGAAGAGACGTCCCACAGCTGGATCAGCTGTCAGTCGGCTTAAATAAAGACACACAGTTGTCAGTTACCTGCCAGAGCAGCAGCATGTTACCTGTACAAACACCTGTACATGAAGAACAACCTGCATCATAGTGGTGCGCAGACAGCGCAGATTGCAGTTTAAACGTTATAAAAGTTAGGATGAGATTCAGATTAATGGCAGATAGACTGAGGCTGAGTTAGGGTGAAGTTTCTCCCCATTTAAAAAGACGCTGTGCGCATTACGCACGAGGCACAGCAGAGTTCACCTAAAATCTCAATCAACATGTAATACATCAGTCCTCCTGATAAATCCTCTGGGGAGTTTCTCTGTTTACTTTATAACTACAGGTTTTAAACCTCCTCTCTAATCATTATAGTTAATTAAATAAACACTCAACAGGCAAAACCAGTACAACACAGAATAAATAAGTAAAAGCTTGCAAATCTCACGCTGCTCCACAGAAGAGGCACAGGAATCATTTCTACTGGCAGAATGCGTTTATATTATTTGTTCATTATGAGCATATGTATTGATTGATATTCTGATTTTAAATGATTGAATTTTTTAAATGAAAATATATTAGGCTAAATGTTTTAGGCAAAATCTCATGTGACTGAATGGAAATGACGATGAATGTAAAAAGTATTTCTTGCTGACAGACTCTCTACTGTGTCTGGCTGTATGGTCGTATTAAACGGCACTTAGTCTGATCAAAATGAAAGACTTCAGTGAAAACTGCTCATAGCTCATCAGAGATCGCTCCTCGGTGCAGAAATAAGCGCTTTGGGACATCCTCGATTCCTCTCGTCGCATCTTCGCCTCTCATCTTAGTCCCTCCCACCAGAGATGCGAGCGGAGGAGAGACACAGAGGAGAGACACAGAGGAGAGAGGAGTCCAGTATGAGAATGAGATGTTGTTGCTCCAGAGTCAACAACTGCACAGCTGTTTTTAATTATCTCTGTAAGATAAGTATAACAGTGTTCATAAAAATGATTATAGGCTACATTGACTTTTAATTCAACTGACAACGTGGCATAATGAGACAAGAATAGTCTACAGATGGCATACTTTTTAATTTTAATCACGACCAATAAAGCTGCTCTTACACTATAAATCTCAGTTTCTTGCACTATTGTAGCCTTTATAAAACATCTGTTTTTCATTCTGTTCTGTACTTTAAAGGAATATGTTGCACAAAACTCCCTTTAAGAAATATGACATTTTAACAATGCCTTACGTGTCTGCAACAACAGGTATCTCTAGAAACACAAGATAAAGTGTGTCATATGCGGACAGTCTTCTTGTCAATTCGGCAGCAATATAAACCATAAAGATGAACTTTTTGACGATTCTGTCGCCTCAACTCAGTCTCAATTGTCAGTGGGAATGTGAGGCGGGCCGTTTTATTACATTATCATTTCTCGCTAAAACAAGTGCTGACTGGTGGATTAAATATAAGCCGAATTAAACGTCAGCTCTTAACACTGTTAATTCACCATCCATTATTATGTGTGTGTCGGTATTTAAGGAGTTTTTTGTCAGTTACCATAGAAACTACCTGCGAGGGGCGGGAAACAAACAGTGAAGGAAACTAACAGAAACTAATACAACTTATCAAAACATCTGTACAGTGCTCCCACCACGGGTTGTGTACTCCAGCTGTGTGTCACGCCTCTTTGACGTCACTGGTGCCGAAAACATTGAAAATACTTCTGCAAAGGATACACCTGTGTATCATAGCTCCTCCCTCCTACCTCCTCCCACCTCTCTCCTCCCTCCTCCCTCCTCTCTCCTCCCTCCTCCAGATGCAATTTAGGAACTGA